TACAAATTAAATTAAACTTTAGCACCTGGCACTTGACATTGAGGCCAACTGTTGCTAACACACTGTGCTTTGCATTTTTTTCAACAGAAGCCTATATTAATAGTGAAAATGTCCCAGCCATGTAACATTATATGTATATCAAAAAGGTTGACATCACATATGTTATAAAATATTGTGTTAACATTTTTGGTTTGGAGATTCAGAAAACCTCAGACTGCGACCAAAACGTGAACTTACATTTAGGACTTCACAAATTTGGTCTAGTAGAAATTAAAAGCACAGATTATTACTACTACTACCATTTCCTATACACACAAATGTTTTTTACCAAAGCCTCAAGACAAGTAAAAAAAGAGAGACAAGTTTTTAAAAGTATTCTACAAATGTCCGAAACACAAACAAATCATGTTTAGATATGGATAAGGTATTTTGCTAGAATTAAAGTGTAATTTAAAAATAATAAAAAAATGGGAAAAAAATTCATCTCAGGCAGGACTTGAACCAGAATTGTCAGCGTTCTGTGATGTTGCTCTAACCAATTGTGCTACCAAGGCCTACACCTCATCATCATTTTTCAACTTATTGATACGTGCACCTCTCGCCCAATAAAAGTATCCTCCCTTTGCAATTAAAAGACCAAATACTGCCAGTGAAGACTAGTGTCCCGACATGACAAGGCAAATATTGTATACTACCAAATAGGACTAGTCACTTAGATGAATAACAAAGTCATTACAAATGAGATAGATAAGAGAAATACGGTTCATGAAGATATTGTACTAAGTTTTATCTAACTTAGTTTGATATTTGTAAATTGCTTTTTGTATATTCATTGTTTCATTATAATATAACTTACTAGTAAGTTACATGTAAGTGAGGACTTAACACTTGTGTACCTAACATAGCCTTAAAATAATTTAAGTAGAACAACGTTAAGAATACAAAATCTCAGAGTTTTAACCTTCGTCACATTTAACGTATTTTATAGTTACGCAAGTCTACACAAGTTCAAACATGATCAGAAGCTATATTTGTCTTCAGGAATTTTCTAGAAACCGTCAGAAATATGAAAGTATTCTCAATTTTATAAGAAAAGTTAAACAATATATAGTTAAATTATAACGTAATGTGTCAAAATTAGTTATTTATTACCGTTTCGCGTGGATAAAGTTAGAAAAATAAGAGGAAGCGTACGATACAAAGCCTAATATTAAACGTATGGTTAAAGAATGCTAATGTGATATTAAGGCTTTACATTTTAAGCAGCTTTGGTTTCGCCGTAAAGATGACACTGGTTGACCCAAAAAAATCGAGTTTTCCATACAAAGGCAGAAATTGAGGTTATATGTGACGCAGAGGATTTTCGCAATTTTCTCGCGTTTAAATACGAAAAATAGTTGTATTAGTAATATAGGACATACCCGGACGCTCCTGGGATAGTGTGGTGGTGAAAACTTTCCTATTTGGCGTTAAATTAACTTCACTATCTTAAATAAGACAGGAACTCAAATGAACACTTAACAGTGAACAGATGACTCGCTTGTCAAAATCCGGACAAAGATGGCGGACATATCTCGACGATTACGTCATTACGCGGGAAACTTGAAATGCTAATACAAATATTTTTCGCTTCAGGAAAATTCAACACTTTAAAATTAAATAGAGCATAATAACTAGGACATTTCTTACCTCATCAAACGGTTGAAAACTGTATGAACAGTCTGTTCCAATTGGGTTTTCAATACATTTGGAGAAGCGTATTCACTCCGACTCCGCGCGCTGTTGCCAAACCGTTATTGCGTCAGAAAGTAAAAACTGTTCAACAAGACACATTTCAAGAGGCTGGATCATAACTTTTTAACTGGTCCGTGGAATTTTGTTTCAGAAGTAAGATGGAATGTTCGAATAATTGATTGTATTCGTCCAAACTTGCCCTTGATTGAGAAGTTTCACTTGGTAAGAACGGCAACGTCGCGTCTCTATTGAGGACAAAGGGATTATAAATATTTGATTTTACAAAATAAAATTCCAATTGGAGATAGTTCTACTCACGGCTATTCTAAGGAAATAGCGAGATGTTTAAAATATTTTTTTATGAAATGATAAATAAACGTACACAGTTCAACTCAGGACGACGAAAACTAAACTGATTTAAAAAATTGTTTTGATCAGCGTAAACAAAGAAACGACTAACTTTGCAGTGTTGCCAGTTGTTACCACTTTAGATGTCGTCATTTCTGGGGAATATTTGGGGATCACAGGGTTGACACATTATACTATATTTTAATAAATATACAATTTAAAATGTATGCTGCTAAGTTTCAGTTTAATAAAAATATATACACATTAACTTGAAAAGGACAAGTGACTAGACATTTGTTATTTTGACCTGCAACTCAATATATATCAGCTCCTTTAAATCTTAATTTTTATTACAATTAAATATGTAATAAGTACTGTTACATATATACCACTTAAAGTTTTTTGAGTATTATTAAATATCATCACCGACAATGGGCTATTTGTTATTTTTGAAATGACCACTAACTTATTTGGTAAGGGAACCCTAGAAATGAAATGAATATTTTTTGTATCAACATTTTTTATATCAACATTTAAATTGTGCGCCTAAACGCTAATTTCGCGAAATAACGCTGCAACACAGCTAATAGCGTCACGACATTTATATTGGTCGTTGGTATCAATCATATTATTTACGTTTAATCTACGTTTACATTTTTAAAGTGATAGAAGTAATAAAATGAGACACAAATTAATTATTTTTTTATTGCAGAGAATATTACTAAAAAGCACGGTGGTTTACAGCAAGCATTATAGGCTAGTGACGTCGTCATAAACCCGACCAATGAGGAGCATTTTGTGGCACGTAACGAATGTTTTAAAAAAAACATATTTGTGTTTTTTGATTTAAAACAAATAAATTTTTTTGCATAATATGTCACTGGTTTACTATTCCTAAGCATATACGTCTGAATGCTGAAAACAAACTATATTAATATTTATGTATAGACTTATACGTGTTAAACAAATACATTAAAAACACTATAGGATCTAGATAAGAAGAAAAGTGCAAAGTGATATTAAGACTTTACAAATCTTAGAAATTAAGATTACTGTTTTCAGTATTTTTTAATAAGCCACAAAATTATTTTATTATTGCATTGTCGAACAACCTTATCCCCCCCTCTTATAGCAACTATTGGTTTTGGAAATTCGGAAATCCACAGACTGACACCGAAACGTGATTAAACTTTCCGGCTTTTTTAATCTGTGGATGGCAGTTCGTGACCTATATTATATCCAGATTTCCAGACGAAGTCCAACATGCCATGCTATGTCAGAAAAATTATAAATTGATTGGAATAATGTTGGACCCGGTGGGAATCGAACCAACGTCTCGTTGATTCGTCGTACATTGATACCATTGCACCTACGAGCCCGCCTTAGGAAATGAAATTTCTCATGAGTTTAAGACTACTAAATAAAATGCTAAACAACGGATTCTATTATTAGCATCATTGCAGCGTTAATAGGTAAATGGAAATAAAAAACAAAATGTCAATAAAATTTTTATTACTTCTTAATGCCATTCGAAAAAGACACGTTTATGGAGGGACATAGTAGTGTAAATAAGATAAAAAATATTTGTGTTTGAAATAATTAAAAATATGTCTTTCACAAATGAATAAATGATAAATTTATCTTCGATATTCTTGTAAAAAATAGTAATAAAATCTCAAATTATTAATACGAACAATATTTCTTAGTTATTCTATTTTAAATATATTTAAAAATGTGTTTAGATCATTAAAAATCTTCTCAAGAGATCAATATTAAGATAATCTTATGTTTAACGTCAATGGGAGCCAGGTACATTACATATACTTAATAATTATAAAAAGCTCATTTAAATTATTTCAAATCTTAAAAAAAAAACAACTTCTCAACTTTAAGGCACTAATTTTCTCTTTAAATCTTTAAATAAAAAATCCTTATTAGCTTTTTTATTCTATTCCCTTGTAATTGTTGGAACAATAAATATAAGTCCCAAGGCACTTAAATAAAACATGTGTAACGGTTTAAAACGCGAAATATATTAGATAAACTTAATTTTTTAACTACGACCTGACGCTTTGGATGCTGTCGTTGTTAAAGTTAAAAATATTTCGCGTTTTAAACCGTTAAGTGTTGTATTAAAATGGCTACTAATCGCGGACACTACAGACAATACTAAGTAGGACTTGGTATCCCACTTATGATATTACTGATGGCGTAAAAAAATAAAAATTAATAAATCCTTATTTATATCGTCTCGGTGTTATTAAGAAATTGACTTATGAAAACTAAAACAAAGTATGAACTTAAAATTAAGGTGAATCTAACGATTAAAATTATATTTACATTAATTTAATTATTAACTTTAATGTCATGCTTGGTAAAAAATACTTTCAACATTAATAAGAATTTAGTGCAAGATAATTTTAACAAAGTGTAAGGCGCTAAGTGCTAACTAATTCATTAATTTCTGTAAAACTTACTTACCGGGTAAGTTACGTACACTAAAACTTACGTAAGATACTTAACGTGTGTTAAATTTGCAACATCTTAACCTTATATACAGTATGTTTGTGTTTTAGTTGTTTTACAAAAAAAACTTAATCTAAATATTATTAAGATACTTATTTTTAAATTGGGCCCTGGTAATGTTAATTTAGGGATAACACCTAGTAGAATTCATATTTAAACTTTTAACGGTTTAAAACGTGAAATGTTGTAGTTAAACTTATTTACAAATTATTTTGACCAAGGCCCGACGTTTCGGATGTTTTGCATCAGCTTCGGTCACGGGGAGACTTAATACAGTTCGCGTTTGAAACCGTTAAAACGAGTTTTATTTAAACGTGTACTACTCGCGTCGATGACATACAGTATTCAATGGAACCCGGTAAATTTTCGTTCGTTGTATATGTTGTCTACGATCAACGACACTTTTTGAGAAATTCGAGTACTTCAGTGGGGAAGTTTTGTTTTATTGACGACTTGCTGGCGGACCTCGCGTACTCCAGTGGGGAGACCGAGCTGAAAAAGATAAATAAATACATTAACAGTTTATTAGCAACCGATTCAAGTTAAGCATAGTATGTAGTTTTGTGTAACCTCAAAAAACGTTCATGTATTAAACAGTCAAAACGAGTAACTTACTGTCGACCTATTTTGGCTTTGCCTTTAAGAGCGCGTGATGAGATTCGTTGCATAAATAGGCCGCGTAGGATAGGCAAACAAACTCAACTTTATAAAGTCAGTGTATGTACTTTAAAGGGAAATTAAGGAAATGTATATTTAGGAAACAAGTGTAGTGACACTTTAACGGCTTAAAACGCAAAATACATTAGGTAACAAAAATACAATTTATTTTAACTACGGCCCGACATTTCAACAGCCGTCACGAGGGGATATATTATATATAGGTTACCTTAGATATTTCGCGTTTTAATCCGTTAAAACGTGTTTCATTTAAATGTGTACTTCTCGCGTTTACCACCGACAATGCTTAGAAATACATATTTACCTCCTGTTAGGCGTATGAGCCAACTTCTTCCACAGTTTCCTGTCTATATGTTTGAAAATAATCATAATGAGTTTCAGATCGCAGTTGGCCGAGTTCACCGCCAGATGGAGCGCAGTCTCGCCACCTTTGACGTCCTGGCAAAATTTCATCAAATAAGACACAGTCATCGTAAATCCCAGACGGGTTTCTATAGAAATATATAACCACTCTATGTCGTGTTCAGGTCAAAATGGACATAATAGGGTCAAGACCCTACATATTACCATTGCAGAACCCTTACAAGTTTAGAGTATATATTGCGACAGATTAAGTAAAAGTAATAAGTTTAAACTCGCTCATCTCAGAAACTACTGGTTCGAATTGAAAAACAAAGTCAAAGTTAAGTTTAAGTTATTCGTCTTTAAATAGTTTAAAAAATGTCCGACAATATATAATGTCTTTCTTTTACGATTAACTCACAAGAACCATTTTCATCGTAATCAAATTTAGGCTAAGGAACGCCAGCCAGTTCACAATTCTAAATCTACAGAACGTAACCTATATATATATATATGAATAGGCAGTACGTACCTCTCGCCATAGATCGATGCCAGCATGCTCCAATAACACATGCACAGTATGATAATGTGGTGTTTGGGCGCTGTGCGTGAGACAGGCTACGTGCAACGCGTTGTGACCTGAAACAACACCCTGTATGTAGAACTCATTTCCATTATGTACCTTCATAAGTCGATAAATATCTAAAAAAATCTAATATAAGAGGCCGTCCTGGTACTATTTTAGGTATATAAAAATTATGAATAACGCTTATTCTGACGGTTTGAAACTCTATTTTTAACGACACGACGATTCTGATGCCTTGCAGCTGTGCATACTTTATAATTAAAACGAGTTTGACAAATTTAAATAAAAAAAATCTTATTTTTAAATCATTTTATTCGTGACAACGGTTAAACGGCAATAAATCCAAACGTCGGGTGATATTAAAAAAAAGGTAATATATTTCCCGTTGTAAACCGTTAATAGTATTTTATTTTGGGTTGAAGTAATCTAAAAGTCAAAATTGGTCCACAGCATCTTGTTTAGATGTTATATGGCTGGGTTATTACCTCGGTAATTAAAAAAAATCGTCGATGACATGTAGTTAGCTCAATTGGTTACCACGGAGCGCTGTGGATGCCGGTTCAAGTCCCGTGGTAAATTTTTATTCAATCTAAATAGATTTTTTATTTTTTATTATTAAATAAATATATATAACTTACCATCGGCGTTAGCGTGGTGTAGCGTAAAGAGCGGTTGAGCGCCCGCGTCCGCCCCGCTCCTCCTCACAAGCTCGTATAGAACATTCGCGTACTTATCGCCGCCGCGTGCGCACGCTATGACCAAATTGTCGCCGAGGGCGTCCACCTGGAAATCAATTATTATTATACCCAACCTTTAGTATTATTATTAAATTAAAACTGGGTTATTTTTATAACTATGTTTCCACGATCACATTTTCCGCAACTAGTACATGGTTTAATAAAACATTTTAAACGGTTTAAAACGCGAAGTACATTTGATTTCACTTTGACCTCTATTTTAAGTCCCCCCATAACTGCCGCAAGCATTCAAAACATCGAATTATAATTCAAATAAATTTCGCGTTTTAAACCGTTAAAATTGTTTTATTCCAATTTATAATATTATCAAAGTCCAAAGAGTAATAATTCTAAGCTCTAAGAGCTTCTTTCATAGTACATATGATTATGAGACCAATTACCTCAGTGAAGACACATTCGTGCGTCCGCTTGTACGCGTCAGACTTGGTCACGGTGCGTACGCACTGAACCAAATACCGCGTGAGGAGGGGCAACTTGAAACAACGGAGAACTGCTAACTTCAGAAGACCTAAACCTGCAAAAAATATCACCACCTTGTAATGCAAGCCTACTGACACATCGTGAAAAATGATTGCGCCCTTATAAGCCCTAAGAAATTATTCCAACCCCCACCTTCACCCCCTTCTTCAGTTGTTTAGGCTAGAATTACTGAAAATTCTAGTGTCTTATCGGTGTGACGAGTAAAATAAGGTGGATCTAATATACGAGACTGCCTCTGTAGCTAAATGGTTAAGCATAGCCTAGTATTGCGTTGAGCGCGAGAGGGGTTTAAGCGGGAAAACATTATTTATTCAGTAGGGCAGGGCAAAGTCTGCTTGGCTGTAAATTGCCTGTGAAACGATATACGATACAATATTACGTAAAATCTCTGTGAAAATATAGCGGCACTATTAGCCATACATACCGAAGTCTTGGACGAACAATTCCGGCTGCAGAGCTAGCACTTTTTCACAGATCAGACTAAAAAGCGCCATCTGCAGACTTTCTTCGCTCTTGCCGTTCGACAGACTCACTAGGATGTGCTTGAGAACACTGCAAACGAAGGTGCCGTGTTAACTAGATGGCGCTTACGTCAATTTTTAATATCCAAATTTATTATTATCAAATATCCAAAGCCGAATATTGAAATTGCGTCCGGGTCACGAATCACCGTCCACAGTTGATAAGGGCGGTCCAGTTTAATCGCGGTACGGTGTCAGTCTGTGGATTTCCCAAGAGGCAAAGATAAATAGGTCGATAGCGCAACTTGTTTGGCAACTTTATTGGTATAGAAGGACAAGTTCTCCCTTGTTACGTTTCTTGAAAAACTTACCCATAAGCAGTTTTCAACTCGAGACCGGCAACATTCTGGCACAGCAGCTTTCTGTTCTCCATCTTCAGTTTAGTCATGTGCCCTTCGAACAGCTCCTTGCACGTCTTCCGCTGGGCTTGGCAGCACTGCATCTTCGAGAACTCGTTGGAGATCTCCTTCTGGAGGTCCTTGTATTGTTTCATGGTCATGCTCGCGCTGGGAAGTCTCTCTCTTCGTTTACGATCTTAAATACAAATATTGTCACAGATAAAAATAAGAAAAAAGATGAGGGTGACGGAACTGATTATAACTTAAATTATTTAAATAGTTTGATTCCGATATTAAATAGGTTTGTCGACCGCTGCGTTACATGTAACGTAACGAACATTATCGCTTTAAAATTGTGTTTAAATCAATACCGTTGTCTGGGCTTGGTTCCTCTACATCCGTGATGCAGCTGGGTATTTCCTCCAGCGAAGGTATGTCCTGGCACTTTTCATAATCGCTGTTGTACATTGGCGATGAAGAGTGAGTTTGTGGTGAGAGCGAGTACTCCGAATTGTTTGGGTAGAAGACCTGAAAAGGAATTTATAACGTTTAAACGCGACATTATTAGTTAACTAATTATTGCTATGGTCCGACGTTTCGTCTGCTAGACATTTGACTATGACATTGGGGATTCCCTCCACCGTTAGTCCCTCCGTGACCACGGCTGCTGCAAAGCATCCTAGACGTCGCGTCTCCTGACGTGAGTTAACCATATTTCAACAATACAAAAGTACTGCTAAAAAGTTTTCACGCCAAGTTGCACAATACAAGCATGTATTTCAAATCTTATTCTAACTATTCGGCTAGTTTTTTAGCTAGAAAATACAGACAAGCATGAGGCTTGATGGTTGGTGAAATTCCCCAGCAGTATCACATCTAAACAAGATGCGCTGTTTTAGCTTTGGATATTTGGACGTCAAGAGACCTAAACGGAGAGCTTCCATCTGTGCACGGTAGATCGTGAATCCAGACTTCCAGATGAAGTCCAACATGTTTCAGAAAAATTATAAATTGATTAAAAAAATTGTGGACTCAGTGGGGACCGAGCCCACGACCCGTTGACTATTAGCCCTTCACTCCTACCATTACAATATCGAGCCTGTCAAAATAACCAACCTGTGAATCCGAGTAAGGGCTCGGCACGTTCTCTGAACGCGGCGGCGTCGGGAACACGCTCAGCCTGTCGAAGTCCGGGTTCAAACACTCCGGGAACAGTTCCAGAGTATCATAATGCACACTTGAGTTCGCAAGCTCCAGAGCCTCAATCGGGTTCTCCATCTCGGGTTCATACAGCTCCGCGGTGGGTTCAATTATCCGCGGCAGGTTCGTGTCCAAGAACTCTGAGAGGACATCGTTCGTGTCTTCGTGCACGAATTCCTCGGCGAGTTCCAGAAACGTCGCCAGGTCCTCGTTGGTGTAGTCTCGTACGTTGGTGTCGATTAGCTCTAGGGCTTGGTTCAGGTAGGTGTTGTCTGACCTCTCGTTGACGGTCACTTGGCCGCCGGAGAATGTTTGTCGGTTGACTTGGCTGATCTGCAAAGTTGAATGAAATATATAAATACTAATCTTTTTTTTATATATGACCGCCTCTACAGCTTAATGGTAAACGTTAAGCATGGCCTTGCGTCAAGCAGGAAAAGTGTTGGGTTCGATACGGTTGGGCAGGGCACAGTGAGACCGAAACACATGTGCTCGCCCCATACCCCACAGAACTAGCTTTCCACACCCACTTTCTTAATATCATTTTGTCTGTAATAATACCAATATTATAACCAAAATTAACTTAAAAGCGATAACAGGGCAACGCGATAATTTCGTTATTATATTGAAATACCTTGTGACAGTTAAATTATCTACACTATAAGTCATTTAATTATATGTATTATGGCAACACAACGAATAAGAATTTAAAACAACATTTCCGTTTTTTAAATTTAACTGTTTTTGGAGTTTAAGTTCATATCTTTCGATTCAAGAGTCCGTTTGTGTTCTAATATAGCCAGCCTGCTTTCTAATGTTTTATTCACATCAATAAATACCTGATGGCAATCAGCATCCCTCGAATACGGATGCGACGGCACGTGGCACTGATTCCTGATTGGTCCCCGCGATATTAACACCGTTTGTATCCTTTTCCGTCTACCCTCGCACGCTTCATCCTCCGAATCCGCCGCGTCAGTCTTCTCCGAGAACCCGCTGTCGTCGGACGTCTGCGAGTCGATTTTCGTTCTCCGACTACCTTCATTCTCCTTCGTGAAATTCTTAAAGCTCTCCTCAGACAATTGCGAATCGTTCCTTTCCTTTCGTATCGCTGTCTGGAAGTTCTGTAGGCTCTCTTCAGACAGCTGTGAATTATTTCTCTTATCGTCTATAACTTTGCAGGTGAAGTTACTGAATTCGTCTTCTTCATCTGCGGGTGGTTTGATTTTGAGATTGTCTAGATCGTCCAGTATATCTGAGACTGTGAGGAATTTGACCGGCTCCGAGGTCTTTGTGCGCTCTGCTACGTCTGGCTTTACATCTTTCCTCTTCTTGTCTCTTTTACTGAATATTGCCTGAATGGGTTTTTTTAGACGGTCTAGTATCGATTTCTTTTGTTCTGCCATATTTTGTTGTGCGTTCTGAGTAGCGGTTTTCGCGCTACCCATATTAGTAGAGATGCAATGTGCCTATTCCATGAGGTCTGGGAATAGAAAGAGATGGTTAATGGAATACTGAAAAACAATACCACTAAGTTGGAATTCCATCAATGTTTCATACACATTTATGATTAGTAACTGCATTAAATACTTTATAATTTACATTAACCGATATGTGAGATACGTGAACTAAACAAAGAAATACTGGCAAATAAAATTCACACTCTTAGAATTATTACGCGCTTTAATAAAAAAGCGATGTTATTCTTTGTTCGTATGGTTACAAAATGGTCAAAAGCGGTTTTTTTTAATCCAGGCTGAAACCGGTGATCCATGGCCTAGACGGAAACCCGATATTCCTACGACCCATTTAATATCCAGATTTTCAGAAGGTGGACCCGGTGGGGATCGAACACAACCCGTTGATATTGCCCAAAACTTAGCTTGCCGTTCGCATTGCCGGTCATGGCTGTATATCGTTAAATATGTTTTTCAGTCGCTAGACGCGGCAGCGATTGCAAAGGCCAGCAAAGTACATTTTTCTTTCACTTTTACATACCTTAATGAAATATGCCGCAAATAAACTCGCACGTGACCCAATATAAAAATAAGACAAAAATTTTAGCAGCTGAAGTACGCCCTATAAAGCATCTATTTTTGGCGGACCTTGATCTCTTACCCGTTACGTCTTCAAAATAGTCTCGTTTCGGTCGGCTGCCCATACTATCTTAGCAAAAACGATTTTTATCGTGCACAGTTAGAGTTGAAGGCTTACTCTATTTTTAATCGAAAAAACAGTTTTGGTAATTAGGTAGTTTTCAAACACATTAAATTGAAATATTATTATTGTTACTCTTGCCGACCCCGGATCTGAACCTGAGACTTGGTAATATGTAGTCGAGTGTACTAACCACTAAAACTTAAAATTATATAATACATGAGAATATAAAGCTGAAGAGTTTGTTTGTTTGAACGCGCTAATCTCAGGAATTACGAATTCGAACTAAAAAAATATTTTTGTACCTATCTTGTCTACACCAAGGACATCTTATCGTCTCGTCATGGGTCTAAAGGTTTGTGGCAATTTCTTTTTAATTGACGGTATCATCGATTATCTTTATATTTGACATTCATAGAAATTGCGACACAATTAACACAAAACTTGACACGGGCGGGACTTGAACCGGCGTCCACAGCGATCCATGCTGTTGCTTTCACTAATCGATATATTGTGCTTGTTATAATTAAATTTATTCAACCAATTCTCGATACTACTTGAACGGATGCTTTGCTGCCCCCGTGACCGCGGCCAAAGCATTCGAAACGTCAAGGCGTAGTTAAATTACATTACCTAATTTATCACGTCAGAAATCTTCTTTAAATTAATTTTCCAGGTTTTTTGTACATTTTCACAGTTTTATACCTTTAAAGCCTTCCTCGATAAATGCTTCAACCGCCACAAAAATAATATTTTTATTCAAACAAGTCGTTCCTGACATTAGCGCGTATAAACAAACAAACTCTTCAGTTTTATAAAATTAGTATAGATATAGGCAGGCTGGCACTGCATTTTCTTTGAACGATTGTCGTTTGTCATTCATCTGGAAACATCTCATCTTCTACAACCGAACCGAAAGCTTTTTACATTTATATTAAAAATCTATACTAATATATAAAGCTGAAGAGTATATTTGTTTGTTTGAACGCGCTAATCTCAGAAACTACTGGTTCGAATTGAACAATTATTTTTGTGTTGGTTATACCATTTATCGAGGAACGCGATTTGACAAATGAGAACGAATAAACAGAAGGAAATGCGGAAAAACGCGAAAAATTATTCACCTTAGTTGGTGGGTGTGTGGGTTACGCTCCGAAAGCGTGTCAAGATCCACAAAAAAATACGTATGAAAGAATGATTCCTCTTTAAAGGATCTAAAAAAAAGTCCGCGACGATATATGTCTATCCTTTAAGATTAACTTACAAGAACGACGGGAAGCGGACGACGTCGTGAGTAACAGCCTAAATTTATAGAGGTTTACAAAAATACATTTGGATGGCCAAAATAACGATTCTCGCGTACGCAGTTGCTGACACAGCTAGTGGATTGTAAATTGAAAAAACTTAAACTCAGAAAGGACTCGAACCGGCATCCGCAGCGTTCCGTGCTGTTGCTTTTATCAATTGAGCTACCGAGTTTTATATTTCCCAAAAAAAATCTTATTTTATATCATGTAACATTGTGTAATATTATTTATCTCTTGATAAGCTTACGTGAAACGTAGATATCACTATAGTGTGAAATATGTAAATATTTTAGTAAGCGATTTAAGTATTACATCAAATTTTCATTAAGAAATGTTTGGCCTGCGATTATACACATAAATATCTTAGTTCACGTTGTTACTATTCTACCATACACATATATTAACATACGCATATATAGATACTGTCTATAGTTTACGCGAGTAGTACACATTTAAATAAAACACTTAAACGGTTTAATACGCGATATATTATTTAAACTTATTTGAAAATGATTTTTAACTGCGGCCCGACGTTTCGGATGCTTTGGTCTTCCCGTGACGACGGCTGTTGCAAATCATTTTCAAATACTTAAGTTAAACTAAAATATCGCGTTTTAAACCGTTTAAGTGTTTTATTTAAATACGCATATATAATTTGAATTGCGGTTCAGTTTGTATAATCATTTTGTGGAAAATGTAACTACCGCTAACTGCCTCTATAGCCCGATATGCTTAAATGAGAGGACCCGGTAAAACAATGGCTTGTCTCGTCTGTGATTTCTGATAAACTGTCTGTAAATAAAATTAATCAGCTCATTTCTATAAAATTTAAAGTTACGGAGTTCGTTTGTAGAAAGAGAGAAAGATAGATATCTTCTTAATAACCATTTTTACGCACCTCTTATAGGAGAAAAACAGGGTCCCAATTTTGTAATTATTTATTTTTCGAAATGTTGGCCTCCCCTAAAATTGGTTTAGGATAACGAAAAAGCATTTCATTGGATTTCCAATATCTAAAAAAATTAACTATAGTAACTCGTTCGTTTTCGATTTACTCAACTTTCACATCCCTCTTCCAATGTATTACAACCTTCCTTTTTTGTTAGGTTATATAAAATTCACAAAACAATCTCTCTTTTTATTTTATTGTGTGGGTACTTGTTAAAACCTTACATTCTTTTAACCTTTATTATGTAAGCAATTAACTCTCAAATCTACGAGTTCAATTCTTTAATAACTTTCACTTGAATTCATTGTAGTAGACATACTTATCTCAAATTGATTTATAGAAATGTGGCCGTAATAATTGAATGACAGACCATTTTTAAATAAGTTATGTTACCATGAAAAAATAATACGGAACCCGATTCGAGGATCGACTGAAATTTTTTCCATATAAAATACAATAATGTAATATATGAGGCCGCTAGAGGCAGAGTAGCCTAACTGAAATTTTAATTTCATAGTCTAAAAATGTTAATCTACAATTATACAAGAGCACAGTGACCGAAAATTGTTATCCTTCCTTATTGAAAATCATGTTTTTTGTTATTAGGCCACTCTGCATCTAGCAGCCACATATAGTCATTTTGTAAAAGAAAAATAATAGGTATTTGATTGAAAAAAGAAATTAGTATAAAATGTAAAAAAAATATTATCGCTAGCGATTTTGAGGGTACTTTGAAAAAATATTATAGTAAGTCTGTTTCTTTACATTTGAAAAGCCAAATTTTCTTTACATACGGAGAAACGATAGAATTAATCAATGTCTTAGTATGTATTTCTCAGTACTATGTAGTATTTTTAGTTTAAATCTGGCTTTTGGCACACATCGTAAGAACGTTTACGCATGTGTTATAATTCAAATGCCAACACTTACCATCTTAAATATACTCTGTGGGAAAGGTTATGCATGTTTCAAATACAAAAGCAACTTATACTCTAACGATAAGTTCTTACAGAGGCGAAAGACAAGAAATACTTTGTGATTGATAAATAGAACACTATTAACGGTTTAATACGCATTTTTATTATCTATACAAGTTTTACTTTCGGGCCGATGTTTCTTATGCTTTACAGCAGACGTAGTCACGAGGGACTAAAGGAGGAGGATGTCCCTAATGTCACAAAAAATCACGCACGGTAGCGCCACCTGTTTTGTCATTTAATATATTCCGCGTTTTAAACCGTCAGTAGTGTTTATGTAAGTTGTGTAAACTACTGACAATACTAAATTAGCGATGAATAAATAATGTTATAAAAATGTTTAACTATAGTATCGGCTATATAGATCTAGCGTTTTTAATGTCATTCAAAGTATTGAAGCTCGCTTCACCAATAATCGAATATGATTTAACTAAGTATTTTTTTCATTTATACATTTCCTATTTTTGTTTTACATGTTTGCTTATATATTTTCCTTAAGATATTTCCTTTTCAAAATGTAGCTCCGAATTTCCTTATGGCTTGAATAACATTTGATTACACTCGTTGGTCAAAAAATAACATTTTTGATTTGTAACTTACTGTCTCGATATTTTTCAAAGTCTAAAACTGAACCCATCTAGTTATACATTAAAAGGGAAAATAAACATATCAAGACGAAAAGGACCTTATCATCATCCCAATAAAGTTTAAAACGTGATAAATAATAGTGTGCGCGCGAGCACACTTCGTCCACATGACCGTTTGATTTCCTCTCATGACATCATCGCCGGTTGCCGATTATGTACTCACGTTTTATTAGGTCGTAATGTCAAGTGAATCCCAACAACCATTCATCTAGTCCCACACTTGAGACTGATACCCACGATACACGTGACATGTGGTCGTTCCATAATTTTTCGCCGACAAAAAATACTAAAGTTATTTTTACCGTTTTTGATGATAATGCGAAAGTTTAAAGAAACAGCAATGTTCTCGCCCATTCTTTGTTTGTAGGTAATATTTCAAAATAGTGTTCAAACTAGTAGACCTTCACCACT